AATGTATATTAAATAGAATCAACACTTCTAGTCAGTGCAACATTTTTTGTTGAATTGTCGTGGTGACTAGGAGTTTGGATGCTATTTAAGTACGAGTATGTAACAAAATCTGTTTGTTTCGAATTAACAAAAAAAAAGCGTGGCCCGAGGGGAAATCTTACTTTTCATATTAGGCCCCCCTGGTAAAAAGGTTGGCCAACCATGCTTTAAAATATGTGCAGTTCACATAAGCGGATTCATTTTAGATAGGTAGGTTAACTCCCAAACAAAACTTTATCGATCTTCAATGTATTTAGAAAAAAAAGTCGGGTTTGGTCCCCTGTACTACTCAATTTATTCCTGACAATATAGAATAATTGCGGTACATTTTTTTTATTACTTTATTAGACAGCATCATTTGCTAGACACATGCAATGCATCATAGTATTATAAAATCGTACGTTCTTGCGGGTGAACAAAATTCGTATCATTTTGTATTTTCTGGATTGCACTGAAACTGCCATCTACCTACAGTAGGCAGCCGCATGCTGAAATGTATTATGCATGTTTATAAGCAATTAATCCAAAAAATTAAATGGAAATTGAGAAGTCCTATATCTGTACCGCATTACGTTTACGTTCATGTGGCGCCGACCGTTATCGTAACGCGAGAAATATCATAAACAGCTAGGCATCAACCCTATTTACAAGAATAGGCAAATTAGAAAACAGGAGTAAAAGATAATGAAGTTATAAGTTTTCAGCAAATGAATTTGAATTACATTATTGCGCAGTTGCCAACAGAAATTTGCGTACAATTAACGCGACATTAGATATACGTGTGACAAAGAGGGCTCTTATGAGAAACCAACCTAGAATCATCCGCGTCACGAAAACTATATAGAGTGAGCGATGGTGCTTCGAAATGAAAGACCATCGCACGGTTTCGGGTCAACGCATCCAAACCCACAATTAGACTTTTTTCTTCGTTCGTTTTTCGCGTTTTTCCATCTATTTCTCTTTATTTTTTTTATTACCGTCCAAACGTCCAAAGAGACTTTTATATATGCGGTGTTTTATTGTTCAAATATGTTTAGATCTGCCGTTTTTGGGCGGTTTTTAAAGAAATTGAAACGTATAAAGTAGGTACGTCAGGCCGGCAGTGGAAAATGGTTTTGCTTTCCAATAAAGTTCCCAATCTTAAATTGCGTTATACACGAAACGTACCGACTGTTGAAAAGGTCAGATGGATGCTACGTGCAATTCTCATTGCAGATGTATACAATTCAATTATAAACCACTGTGTGGATGTAATAAGGAAACAAGATGAATTGTTCGGATATTGAGGAGATCAAAGACACCGTAGTCCAGTGTGCTCGCTGATTTAGTCGTCTCCTCTGAAACTTGTGCGTCTACTATTGTGACCATAATAGGGAGTAATATCGATACTCAGTTTGAATTGGATTTGAATTCCTCCACAAACGCAAATGATCAGTTTGGACAAGCACATAAAAGCTAATAGCAAATAAAATGCCTTTCAGTACCTTCCATTTCTTTCAGTTTTGATAGTTGCTCATTAGCCAATTTTTCTCTACTCATGAATTAAAAGAACCGTTGACGTCGTCCAACCGTTGAGTGAAAAATTCGTTATTCAATGGTCCAACTAAGACCTGCAAGACGCGCATAAAGTTTAATAAAAAAGTATTGTGTGGGTCATAGATTAATCTTACCGACACAATAATATAGGCACTCTTATAACCCGCTTTCACCAATACTTTATCCTTGTTACATTCTCCTCTGCATATAACAGTTACAGATATTTTTTACTCCGAGTACTATTTTTCAGAAAACGTAAATTATCTAGAGTTTTATATTGAAGCATCTACCACTTTACATGAGAACTTATTATCACTAATAAATTGGCGTAATAAGGTTCTAAAGTTTTTAAAACCTCAATAATTGAATAGCCATATTTCTTTAAACCAAAACAGTAAAGCGAAATTATAATTAATCCAGTCTCATAATAGCTTAATTTAGTAAGTCACAATGGGGGTTGAGAGAAGTTATAATTAACTTTCGTGATACAATCTGATTGTGCATGACCTAATATTAAACTTTATCGTCTTTGCACTTTACATAACGGCGACTAGTCATTTAAGGTCGATATTTGCGCGGCACGATACTGTCCTAGGGTCAAATTGTTCTGCTAGAATTTTCTGATTATAACACTATCCGATAAAGATGAGTGTTTTCCATATGAGTTATCCATTCTTTGTTGTCTCTACATTCTACTTATTGAACCCATATACATACCTTAATATTGTACAGTGAGAGACTAGGTATAGCTATCGTTTCAGTGACTGGGAAAGTCAAGTATTAGTATATGATTTTTTTACTACACAAACCGTATATGAATATTTTATATACCTACTATATCTTATGTTTAGTGATTCACTAAGTAGCTTGATGATTTTCCACTTGACTTGAAAATCATGTATTTCAAAAAATGAATACTTCACTTAACTTGATATCAAGTAATTTTAAACTATAGTGGATTCAGCGAAAAAGTTTAACATTTCTCATTAACGCTTAGGGGAGTTCCCAACAGTATTGCTAAAAATGAATCGCAGTTTATGATCGAAAGTTGTTCAAAACAATCCTTACGGTTACGGCCTGTTTAAATGAATAGAACAATATGAACACCAATCACCTAGAAGTCAGAAGTTCTCAATACTCAATAGAATATAAATACGAGGATTGTTCAATAGAAGCACGTTCAGAGGCTGTACAACATTTTTTATTCAACGGTTTTAAAAGAAGTCTAGTATCCATTAACATTAAGGCATGAATCCCACTGTTGTACTAATCTGTAAATTCCGTGCTGGTAAAATTCTTGCGGCTGGGCCAAAAACCAAAAACATGATAATCGCAAGGGGACAGGTCGAGGCTGAAAGGGGCGGAGTGTAAAACTTTCCACTTCATACGTCTAAGCAGTTCTTGAATCGCCTGGGCTACATGGAGTCGGGCATTATCATGCAGAAGAATTTAATGGATTCTCTTCCTTGTCGAAATTTATTGCACCATTCAACCACTGTCGCATGACAATAACTATATTCACCATATACATTATACAGCTTTCATTCTCGTATAAATTTTCATTGGCTGACGTCCTTCAGTGGCCATCAACTGAATAACAGCCCGATGGCTGCATAGATCAAACGTGATTCTATTGAACAATCCTCGTATTACACCAGTCTAAAGGAAGATATCACATTCAGATGATCAAGTCAACACGCAATCCTGGTTCTTTCGGATATCGTCTATGTATACTGTTTATTTCATGTACCTACTTATGTGTAAGTAAATTTATTAGATTTGAAATAAGAATCGAGATATGTATGTGCTGTGCATGTACCTATAGATAGCGTACAGGTAGCGTACTTTTTTTTTTGTTCGAGTTAGTTAAAATCGCATAGTTGGATTTTGGAACCTAAGCTTTGACAATGAGGCTTACTCTGTTTATGCCACCGAATCTTTGTGCAACCTAACCTTTTTTTTAATTGACACCTGTAGGCTACTTGTTTTACCTTTTAGGCTTCATATTGTATTTTAACTTTTAATATGTTATTGAATTTTTACTGGGCGACCAGTTTTTGGCACTGGGCGACTAATATGTTCGACTACTATGTTATTTTATGCTCTGAATTGTTGGAAATCAAATTATTTTTGCAAAGACAATTTTATTGCCTTTAAAACGTATGTCACTCGATGGGGTGGGCGAAACGCATATGCCGGGATGCCGGGTGAATAGTAAAAGTTGAATAAACTTCCCATTAAACCTCCCCCCCCCCCTTACCTATCTAAATGGACGTGTTTTTGCAATTTTTGATTTCTTATCAAAATTACAAATTTCAATCGGTGGTTGACGTTGAGATGAAAGTGTTATATAAAAATGAGCCCGCGCGCCCATATAACTGAAAATATCAAATACCATTAGCCACATGTTCGCACTGGTTAACGTTGCCTAAACTGCAAGAGGTTTGAGGTGATGCCACGCTGTTTGAGTAGTCAATAAATTGAGTGAGATTACAGGCAAATGTAAGTAAAGTACGATACAAAGATACCCATTAATGCCCTGCTAAATGAAAAAACATTCCAAAGAGAACTTTAGCTGACTGAAATGAAAAAGAAAACTTTATCGCGGCAAAGAGTTTATTGAATTTAGTCGAGTGGCGTGCCGGATTTTTACTATTTCCTTTTAAACGATAAATTCAGCAAGTAAGTAGAACATTTTGTTGTCATTTTTGTGTAGGTAGGTAACTTGCGAACTTTCCAACTCTCCTTTTATTGTTATAATGTAAGAACTTGTGGGGCACGACATTTTCGATTTGCGGTGGTGTTCCCAGCATAAAAACGCGAACATGTTCTAGTTCGGAGACTTGTACTAATTTCCGTTTGGCCGAATGAATTAAATTTAATGATGGTAATTGTAATAAGACGATATTAAGGCTGCCAATTAACGAAATCGAGAAAATTCTATTTTAAGTTAAAAATATAAATGCGAGAACGCAGAAACTTTTCTTAGCGGCCGTTTTAAGTGATTATTTAACGGGAGTCGTCGCCGCCCCAAATGGTTCGCGTATAAATTTGAAAAGTGCCACTTTCAACATGGGCCGACAAGATAAAATGGGGCCATTGCGATAATCGGTGAGAAAATGATAAGGGAAGTGATAAGAGGGCGATAGGACAAGAATATGGCTTGGAAACTGAACAAATGTACCGGAAACAATGGCAAGAAAGTATGAGGAGAACGAGCCAACATTGCAATTTGGGGCCGAGTTTTATATATATTCGTTCCACTCCTTCAACTAAAAGAGTGTTGAATTACTGATGTGTTTTCATTTGGAAGACGCTTTTTAACGCTGTTTTCTCGAATTTACATTTTCATGTGTGGAAAAAACTATGATAAATGTATCTGCATTGCTTTCAAAATACCGGAGTAATAATTATAAAATTCTCACCTCGCATAAAGCACGCCGTTTATTAGTCCTCGAGGCTCTTACATCGTTCTTCCTATAACGCCATTCTGAAAGAAAAAAAATGAATCAGACGTAAAAATTTATCTCATTTTTCTACTCCATGTCTTTTAATTAAAGGAATTTATTTCAGTTCTAAGTTTTTAAGCGTTTAAGCGAACGTCTACATTTTAAAAAAGAAACGTTTTGGCGTCTTCAAAGCGGTCATGAAAGCGTGTTACCTATACGAAGACCACGAATAAAAACAAAAAGCATCTTCGTATCATAAAATTTTGCAGGTGAGGCGCTTTTTTGTGACCAAAAGAAAGGGTGTACCCATATTAAAGACAATTCTTTTTATTTTATCTAAAGTGTAGATTAAGTGTAGGTATATGTGTAATAAACAGTAAAGAAAGTTGCAGGTAGTACCTAGTGTTGTTAGAGTGTTCAAAGTGGATTGTGTTTTTATTATTATAGCATTACCGTATTCGTCGCAGACCGCAGTTAATAAGGAGCATACCATTTTTTGCGATCCATAAAAGTATACAAAATATGAGCCCAATGGAAGTACCTATACAATCCTGTATGGTATAGGCACACCTAGAGTAGTAGTCTTCTATTGTAGATTATGAACCCTCTAAATTTGGGGAGCAACAAGCTGCGTAAAACTGTTTTCCCATGATAATTCCCTATGTTCGGTTTGAAAGTATTCACCCGGTATAGAAATCAATAAGAGTGGTGATATCAGAATGAAGCTATGGTATGATGGTAAATGCCCTATTAATTTCAGCCCTTGTGGAACTTCAGGACGTTTGGATCTATAAACATTGGCTTTGTTTAGCTCCGTTCATACTGATTTGGTGCTAATCGAAGTAGTAGACATATGGTTGATCAACCCCCCCCCCCTCCTCTCACCCGTCTAACCCCACTTCATTCTTATACAATTCAATTACACCTATATTCTTTTCAAGTATGTTATAATTATAATTATAACTATATCGATATTCTCAGCAAATCACGTATCCACAAAACATGCGCAAAGTATTTGAGACCCTTCCTAATAAATCCTATTTGTTGTGTAATCAAAGCGACCGAAAATTGAATAATTTTTCAAATAATTTACACACAACACGACGTGCCAATTGAACAAAAAATTAATACGCCAAAGAAGGGTTAAATATGACTTCAATAGTTTTGTTATGACAATGAGGCTGAGGTAATTTAATTAGTAACAATGAGATCTGTTTACCCTACAATCAAAATTTCCACCTGCCTTCACTCACGTCATTTTCAGTTAAATAAACTACGTCAAACGCAAGACAAATTCACTAAACGGAAGGCAACCTAAAGAAAATGAGTGAAATTCACGCTGAATGCACGTACGTAATAGCATAGTGTAATCTATTCTTTACACTAAGGTAATAGCTACCGATAACAATGCAGTTATTATCTTGCAAAAATAAATCGTTAAAATTTAAATCCTTTGTAAACTAGTAGAATGCGGATCGTATAACGGAACAACGCTAATGAAGCAGCATCATCGGCGAACAGAAACAAAAAAGTATTATGGCTATGCAAAAATTTTCCTAATTTAATTAATGAAACCCACATATTATAAAAGTTCGACGTTTTTATAATAAAAAGTTTAAATTAAAATTTTCAGCCGCTAAAATTTCTTCGTTGGGAAACAACCTGTTGTTGACAGTCGCTTGGAAACTTATTCTAACAAAAAAAATCAGATCGGTATACATACCCATTACAAACGTAAAGGGTGCAGTGCTTGTTTCAACATCGCAAAAGTTTGTTTTGCGCAATTAATTCACTTAATCTCGTCAAGTATCTACACCGCTATTTCACTAACGGTAAAGAAAATTTTATTATTATTTATTTAGGTTTCGGGATGAACATATATTGTATAATAGTTTTGCACGTATTTTTCATTCTTCTTTATGGATTTGAATTCACGTAGGTAAGTATATTATGCTCTGTCACCTTGTATAGTTTTGTATTCGTAAAATGATTATAATGAAGTAGATTACAAATTTACGGCGTTTACTAAATCCAAGTAGATACAGGCATATTACCACCGGCGCGGGGTTCTGGATTCTGGATTACGATAGGAGGGTGAACAGGGTCCACGCGTACTTAGGCCTCAAATTCGAGCCCTTTGTACTACCTCGGTGACTAGGGTCGTCCAACCCCTCAACGTCACTCAAGTCATCCCACACCCGTCGCGGGGTAATTACTGTATGTTCTGATGATATCTAAAATGAGTCGTTTAGCCGCATTGAAAATGGTTCAAATCCAATGACCCCGTTAGAGTCCCACCGAGGTGCTCTGCTGCTTTTTTAGATCTGCTTTAGGGGTTTATTGGGTTCAGGTTAGTTCAGAAAATTGTGACTACGAAAATTAATCTAAGTAGTTAGGTAATTCATAGAGAACATTTGTAAAGGGAAATGTAAATTGGAATTTTTTCACTATTTGCATTTTCGTCCATATCTAAACTGTATGGTCACTTTTCATTTAATTTTGAGAGCAAGCAAGCTAGACAGTAGATTTTCAATTTTCAAGAAATTAGTAAGGGAGGAGTTTTCCAGTAAGTCTCAGTAAAAAAATTCACGTTAAAGGCTGGTCGGAGGTCATTTTAAATTCTTCCTCAAAAATTTAAGTTCATTAATAAATTCGGTAATAGTTGCTTCTATGAAAGGATGGCAAGAGACTCACCAACCTCTTTCTCAAGAGGAATGGACACCTATTCAAAGTTCAAGTTTTATCTTACAGGGATAGGTAGGTAGGTATGTTTGTTTGAGTAAAAGTATTGGCCTTTTCAAGCTTTGAAGTTACACCATTAAGCGCCTTTAAATCGCGATTAAAAGAGATGGTTACGAACATTTTTTTTAATGAAAACACGGAAACGCGAGCGTACCTTCATAAATTTAAGCTTTAAATGTTGGTAATTAAACAAATTAACTTACCTTTTAATACTTCCTAATTACAAGCTTCCCGCCTGAAACAAAACATAAATTACAGTTAATAACGATAGTAGAGTTATTACGATACATTTAAATTATGAACATACCTTCGCACAGATCGAACACAATAATTAAGGGAGGTAGTTGAGTGTAACGCGTATAAGTACGTATATATACATTGCCATAAAGTTTAGAGGAAACAAAATGGAGTTCTTCGAGGTTCCCTTCCGATAAACTTCCCGAGTCTAATTTAATCAAAATAATAAATCAGTGCGCTCTCTATCTTCTTTATCTGGCATAGATCTCTCGAAGGATTTGGATAACAATACAAAGGAAGAAGTGTAAAATAGGAATTGTAAGAAGGATATAATCAAATAACTCAGCAATATGGCTGCGGGTGACGGTTTTCTTAACCCTGAAACCCTTACGGATCGTAAATGCTTTTCGCGTTTTCCGATGTAATAAATTTATTTTTCGAATGCAAACAACATCGGAATATACCATTAAAATATTTTTATTGCCGCCGCTTTGTATTTATAAATCATTCGCGACGACAACCCAAATTTCTTTTCCCGCTTTTAAAACTGCACTCGCCACTTATTGCTTTTTTCGGGGAAACGAACAAAAAAAGATATGAAAGACTCTTTTAAGTAGACGTAATGAGAGAAAAACTAAGAATTAATTGTTTGTCGCGTCGAATGCACAATAGTAAACATTTCTTCCTGATGCTCATTTTTGAGAACGTATTAATTAAACCCTTCGGTGTCCCAGTTACAAAAAAAACCATTATTTTCTATATGTGGAACTAAGTATTATTGTTCCGTTTATTCACTCTATGGATCTTTAGTGTCCAACGACGAACTAGTTGGTTATTAATACGGGAAACTAAGTAATGCGAATAGATTTTTACCAGTTGTTTAATGACTTCGTTTCAACTAAGGACTTCTGGTTATACCGGACGTGTGTTTCACTTACGATACAAGCGGAAGTAGCACAAAATTGAAAATTATTTTATCTGAAATGAGTTAATTAAATAACTCACAGCACACACGCACAAATTTGCAGAAATGTATTCGCATTCGAATCCCAAATAATAGTTTAGTAGCAGAATTTCTGCGAAAATCTACTAATATTCTACGTTAGGTAGGTATAATTCCGTACATTGACGTGCAACCCTTTGATAAGCGCATTTCCCTGTAATTAAGTGTTAATTATGTGGCGACATGTAACCTAATGGGTGTAATGACATAAAATGTACATCATACAAGAAAAGGGGCGTAAAAACGTAGTTGTAAGACACAAATATATATAGCATAATCCAAGCTGAAACGAAGCAGATTCTTTTTTGGATGTACCGCCTACATCCATTTCGTTTTTGTGGACTAGAATAAGTTTGGCAACAATAAATTGTCTTTCTTTTCATTTATAATGAATGACGTTGCATTATTTATACAACGATATCAAAAAGATTAGCTTTTTTATCGTACCTTGTCCAAAAATAATTTCGATATTTAAGTTGATTTCTAAATTAGGTGTACTGAGGTCGCTTTTTAGGATCAAAATCGCACTACGCAAAAACTTATAAATACCTCAGTTGATAATTTGATAATAATCGGGTGAAATTAGATTGAGCGTCGTTAGGAGATATCCCGTAAACAAATCGGTCTTTAGAGACAATCGCTCTAACAGCTTCTAGCAACATAAATTTATTATGCAGCACTTAGGGACTACATTTTAGAATTTTAATTACAAATATCCTACGAGGACTTTGGGGATTAAATGGCGTGAGGATTAAAATGAATTGTAAACTTTCAACACTGACAATAATAGTCATCGTAAAAGTAATTGCTCTTTAACAATAAAAAGAGGTTGTGCATTTCGAGTTGGGAAACTTGCACATTCAATTAGCTCGAATGCAAATTAATATGTCGTAAGTGAAGTGGAAAATATCTTGGGCTAAAATATGTGTTCGAATATTAAATGTATGTTTGTAAAGGAACTGGAAAATTGAGATCGTGTTTTCCTTCGACCCTATTGCCTCTAAACAAATTTATATAACTCTGCACAGCTAAACATATACCAAATTGCATGGCCCCCGTCGTGGTCTTAATATTTTATCTAACAATTTAAGAGAATTTATGTTTCTGGCATCAGATACAATATTAATAAAGTAAGTGATACGCGGTCGATGAATTCGATTATTTGCTTTTCGGGAAGTTCTACCTGGGCCAATGCTCCCTTTACAAAATGGTCGCTACCACACGGTCTTTTTTGTCAGAGTCAGGTTCTAAATTTACAAGAAAAGAGAGCAAATTTGGGAAGGAAATGGATTTACCTACATTGTATGTGTAATTTAATTTCACTTCTCCGACAAGATTCCGATAAAAACTTGAAGCGTACATAAGACAATAAAGAAATACAATTTGAGGAAGGTTCTAATGTAATATTCTGTGTGATGGAGAGTAACTTTAGAATTTTATCGCTATACTAGTTCCCACAAAGGGCTTCCGTTGTTTATACAACATAGAGAGGGGAAAAAGCACTAATTGAAACCATTTTGAAATTGAAAGGGAGAAATTGAGCCTTTCACATTGACAAACACCGCAATGTAATCAATGGATATTTATTGTGCGAATTATGGCCATTTGAAACACTAATGGTGGAAAGGCTTTCAATTATGTATGTTAATTATATAATTTAATTGTGATTTGCAATCTATAATTACAAATTGACGTAAATATGACGAATGGGAACGGTAAATATTGTGTTACAGGCGTATAATGATAACGATTGCTAATTATAAAATGGCTACCATCCGGTTTGTATTGTCAAGTTTTATGAATGTTTCGCTTAAGTTACAGGCTACACCATCAAGGCCATATAATTTATAGTACACTAACCACGAAGGTCCTTTGTAATTTATGCGTTGTTTAAACGTGCCATGTAGAAAAACAGTGGCCAGAAAGTTATACGCTTTTTAGTAAAATTAGTCGTAAAAATTCTTGAAGCTAAATGGACCAGAAAATACGGTGTGAAAATACAAAGAAAGACAAATAGGTATATGGATCCAAGAGGACATAATTATTATTGATACAAGTACAATTCATCAGTTCAATAAGATGCAGAGAATGAGAGAAAACAGCAGGACCGGACTGGACCTACAAAACGGCCCAGGCGATTTTATTAAACCGTTTGTGAATCGTGTTTAGTAGAAGTGATAAATAGTGACATTCGCGCTCGTGTTTTAAATTTCAGTACAAGTAAGTGATAAATTATCTGTTATAGATTTCAGCACCGTTATAAATTCATTAATAATTAGTCAGTAGTGACCAGATCCGCGCCAGAAAAAATGGAACAACTCATGCAATTAATGCAAAAAATCAAAGTTAAATCCCATCAATACGGCCGTAGAAGCTAAATTTGAAGCAGGTCGCCATACAAGTGCAACGTACAGTATTATTGACCTTACCACTACGAGCCCCATGTACTGCCAAAATCCCTTCTGCAGTTTGTACCCTTTCCAGGTCAGACGGGGCCAGACCCTGTTGGCGTCTTCGAAGGGTGAGCCCATCGAGGTCCCCTCTCTTTCTATTCGTGAATGTATTAACGGATGTGTTAACGAAAATGCCATGGCTACTGCACCACCTATCCACTCTCTAAGAATCGTCTGCATGAGTTCTTTCAGTGTTTGGAAACTTTCTAATTATGACGATTGCTAGATCGTCCGCGTATTATAAAATTCCGCTGTTGGTGTTAGTAATCATTTGCTTAAAACCTATAAGAAATAACTTAAAAATAGGAAACACCCCCACTGCCTCCTAGCTATTTAAATGGAGATAATTTTGCGATTTTTGTTTACAAGAGACAATCGGTGGTTCGTTTTGAAATGAAAGCCTGATGTACGTGTTCTAGAAAGCACCGTGCATAACTACGGTGCAATAAATCATTTCTAATAATGTTCTACTTTCTAGCATTGGCAAAAGCAATTAGTTGTGAGTTGTGTATATGATGTAATCGATTTAATTTGAAAAATCCCCATTTGATTTGTAGTAAGACCAACAAAATATTCAAACTAAATCCGCAAACGGATGCGTACGCCTATTTGAAAACCTCGAAGCTCTAGAATGAAGTCGTTAACTTCTTAGTGGTGACCATTAGAATGGTTATTACGTTCTCACGTACTGTTTTGCATCGGAAAACCCATTCCGTTAAGAATGTAACAAACAGAATAATTTTCACCCCTTACTTCCAATTTTCTATTTTCTTCCACTTCCTTTGTTAACCCTTGAACCTCATTACCTTCCTGTCTCTATACGTGCTAAATAAAATAATTAATGAGAGCTGATGCCATAAATTATAAACTTTTGCCCTTCGGCTTTTAAAAATAAATGTCAAGACACAGACACTAATTTAAAATTTAATACATTTAATTAAAAAGTTTAATAATTGAGAATGACAAAAAAGTTTTCAACAAAATAACGTTAAGATGCGTTTTTGTTTTTAATAAGCTTTTCCCCCTTTTTGTTACTGCAAAAATTAATATTCCGAGGTGGCTTCGATCGAACAATATAGAATGGACACTCCATATTTTTGCATTCATCCATGATAACTAATCAACTCGTGAATATTTTACGAACCCTATTAATATTTATTAAACTTATATTACACCAGATTTACATTACCTATACACCCTTTGGCGCGTTATCACGGTGTTGACTTTTAGTTTCAACACCAGGGCAAAAACCACTCCCCTGCAGTGTATGTAGATGTGGCGTGACAACTAGTTTATTTCGATTAATTTAATTCACAATGTTTGTGGTTAGTTACAAATGGGCATTTTTGTGGATTTCAAAACGGAGTTCTCTCGACGCATACAGCAAAGGACAAATTACCGAAATGCACGTCACCAATTTGATCCACCTGTCACTTCCGGTTCCGGTACAGCACTACCCCACAGTTAAGGTTACTTTTCTAGGGACCCGCAAGTCGAAGTCGCAGCTAATATTTTCACACTTTACTCTGTCGAATGCAAAAA